TGCACATTCCAAGCCAAAATTCGGTCAGGAAGAGTCGCTCCGGAAGTTTGCGCCATTTTGGCGGCATTTCCTTTGATGTTCTGTGAAATCACGCGACATTCTTACACCCTTATTTCTTAGATTTCTGAATGCTTAGAATTACGTAATAAAAAGTTCCATTCGAGCACAACCAGCGCGAAAGAAGTAAAAATTGTTTCTGGAGATAATGGTGCAGCTCTTTGGGTGCAAGGGCAGTACAGGTACGGTACATGCTCTACCGTATGCTTTCAAAAAGAAGATCAAAAGATGTTCAGCGAAATCTACAGCCATCCATTTTATAGAAGAAGTATTCAAAAAAGTTTTGTCGCACTTTATCGATCGGATTCGAATTTTAAATTTGGAGAAAAATGATGTAAGCGTATCAGTATTATCGACATTAGGAAGTAGATTGTCATGTGTGGATAATATTTTAATATTTATTTATTGTAGTAGCGGTTGTGGGGGGGCAACCGTGTTTGATAACGCGTTTAGAATAATGATGATATTGAAATGTGATAACTTTCACCTTCAAATTCGCTTATGCACGTCAAAGATCATCATGTAGATACTCAAGATAGTAAACTTTATTTCCCAACAGAAACTACCGAGCTTTGATTTTCGCAGGAAGAGTCTCACAGAAACAGGGCAATAAATTCAGTGTTTTGAAGTTTTTTTTCTCCCTCTTATCGAAGGCCATTTCAACATACAGCTTTCACACGTAAAAGTGATTATATCAGAAAGACTTGGTCGATCACACGTAAATCGGATTACAATTACCAAAAAATAGACCTCGAAAGACATGGTTTGCCCTCGGGACTGAGAAAATCAGGCCTTTGATAGAACCTTGCCCAAAATGATACATTCGCGCCCAATGAAACGGTGCGAAGTCAAGAGGGATCAACTGTTCAGTCTGTCGAGACACTTTTTCGAACAACCTCAACCGGCTAAATCTTCTCAACTTTCCTTGCCGACAAAGCAATGGGGTAGCATTTTGCAATTTTATATTTGCATAAAGTCAGGATGGTGCATCAAAAAATTGTTATTATAGGAACCTGTCACCAGATGGGACAGCCGTTCATATATAAAAATTATTATCATTTTCATTGCGTTGTAATACACAGAATCGTATAAAACCTGACGATTTTAGAGGATTGGACAAGTTCGTCTTGGCACTTCCTTTTGTCATTAGAGCTATCGAACGAATCATTATGACTAATATAAGGCATCTATGGAGACTCTTTGGAATTTATTCTATCTCCCTATTCACTAAAATATAGTATGCTAGCAGGACAACGGTCGGCGCTGTTGGTTTGATTAGAACATCTGGGATAAGCGGCATCAAGAACGCCTACTTAGACTTGTTACAGTCGTTGGATTGCCTTTAGAAACGGGTGAAATGATGAGAAATGATAAAGACTAAAAGGGCTTCTTCCCTGAATTAATGGAAAGGAAAAAGGTGGGTGACGTGCGCAGATATATGTCTGATACATTCCTTTTCTTCTGATCGCTACTTATTCCTCTCCATTGGAATCATTTGAGAACTGTGAGCACGATTTGGACCATAATTGCCATTACCAGTTGATAGGAACAGTCAGTCTTGTTCTCCAAGGAAATAGTTATATTAGTGGTCAGGTTTGGATGTTGAGATTATGCCAGAGTTTGAATCAAGAATGTGAGATTCTCTTTTTCACTACACCACTTCCGCGCTGTTTCCCTCCCCCCTCCCGCTCGCCCCATTGGAGACGTTCAGTTCTCTTGAATCAGATCATGTGAGGAGCGCGATCATCGAAGCCTAGGGTTAAGCTCAAATTTCGGCTCAGGCTTAGGCTTATGCTTACATGATGGATCATACTTCTCTCCTTACAACCCCCATTGAGACCTAGTGTTCCCAATAGGTAGCCAATGGGCAGCAATTTTGAAATTTTATATTCTGCCATAAAGTGCTGACCCTCAATGAGTCATTCCCGAGTGGACTACGCGCTACGAAGCACGACTTGGTGCCTAGGTCACGCCGTTGTGTTCAGGCGCATCCCACGCAAGTAGGAGTCACTTCGACCACCGCACCCTCTCATTAATGGGTTCTTTCATCTGGAATACCAAAGAAAAGCTGCGCGCCAATTAGCAGTTTGTATTGGTTAGGATGACTCCGCCCATTCGATTAGTGTCGAAAGTGTCTTCAATTAATCAGGATGTAATTCACTTTTTGCGATTTAGCTGTACATCCTTTAACAATGGAGACGTGACAGATGAGACCATGCGCTAATGTCTTGTGACATATCAACTGGAAAAACTATCACTACGATTTGCTTTCATCGGAAGTTTCACTTCCATCAGCGTCGAGACGAACTTCTGTGGTGTACCTGTACGATACCATGGAAGCTTGTCTCGATTTTGTCTGCGAAGAAAGGAAAGATGTAGGTTCTGACCTTTAGTAGTAGACTGCCTTGAAAGGTGACTCCGATCGAAACAACGCAGCATGTTTGGTTCAAGCAGAGATTTCCGAAGACATGGTCAAAGATTCTCTTTGAAAAGCCTCCGCAAGAAACTATTCATGTGACGGACCATTCGTACAGTTTTAGCGAAGGCGGCGTAGATCTGCCCTCTTATTCAACTGTTCCCTAGCTGTAGCTCATGTGCACGGCGTATCCCGTTCTATTCCTTCAGAGAATTCTGTGAAATGAAGAGGTTAAGAAGTGTGATGTCGTTGGGGGGCTGCTCTCCACTTAGCTCGCCAGACCTTACGGTGCCACGCGGGATAAATCTTGCCACACGAACAGCACACCTCCAACTAACTCTTTTATGCCAAGGATACGTACGACAATTACAACGACAATGATCGCTATAACTTGACGTATGAACTAGAACTTGACACAATTTCTAAGAGACTTGACCCAATCTACCCCACTTGGCAAGTACCCAAGCAACTTGGAATCGAAGCTAGAGAATTATGGAGAGCTGGGAAAGCTAGCGATGAATCGAGCTCCAAGACAAGAGCTCCAGGATGCTGACGGCAAAAACTCGAACCCCTAGAATGTTTGTTAAGCGCTTTTATACGCGCTTATAGATGTCTTTTGATGATAAGCGCGTCTTCGCGAGCTTTCCCATAGCTTTGGAATGAGCAACTTTCCAAAACATTCACTGTGACTACAGTATCCTACATTGCTGAGAAGAAAAATGGTCGTGATCTCCACGACATGTGACATGCCGAAATGAAATTGTGATACTTGATTCAATCATGAACAATCGGATTATCCCGGCCAACCTCATTTGCGGGATGCGCCATGCAGTCCATTTCTATTCAGAATTGTACTGGCATTGGAATGCAGTTCATGCCACACTACTAGCCCATATATCTAGTTTCCATATCGTCGCAGAGGTCCCGCCGCCGAATTTGGATCCAGTACTTAAATCATTCCTCGGTATTTCCCATGAGCGTGTAGGTGAGCCATAGGAATGCTAAGTGGTAAGAGAGCTGCAAAATCACCCTTCTATGTAGACCACACCCGCCATGTAGAGGTTGAAATTGGGAAGGCTTCAGAAGTAATACACTATTTTCCTCTCATTGACTCCTAGAAACACAGTAATCTCATCTTTGCGCTGGACAAAGTTTGATCAATCCAGGTCACAGTAGCCCAGCAAGGTCAAGTCTCAGCCTAGGCAATTTTGAGTCCCCTTGGCCTCGCCCTGGATCGCTTGAGTTTGTTCATGATCAAACCATCCCAGGTCAAGGTTCGAACTTCAAAAGCGCAAATTGACAACGACAATAAACCATTCAACTTTTGGAGGCCTCCCGCTTTTTTGGATATCGCGCACGAAATAAACATGAACGAAGGCTGTGTCACCGTGATGGAAAAGGACAAACTGCTGGCGTTGAACGGTTTCGTGAAGATGTGCCTCGCCCACACAAACGCCCGTACATCATAAAATTACTTCATTGCGTGGGTGCCAATAGATTGGCCCTCCTGGGTGGATCGATGCTTAATGTGGGATTTTTGTCCTCTCAGAAAACTTTGCAGCTAACAACCTAACACCTAATGAGCAAAAAAGGACAAATCCTCACTAAGTATGCAGGGGGGGGGGGCAAAGCTGTAAGCTATTCTTAGCTGTTTTCAAACAACGCGTGTAAAAAGAGACGCGTAGGAGCGTAGGATCAAAAGCATCAAAAGCGACGGGTGCTCCCACACATTTTAGGCCAGACATAGCACCTCCATAAAACCCATTTGATCACGTTCAGTATTACGGTGATTGACCTGGCCGGATACTTTTAAGATGCTCAATTAGAGGGTAGCGATTTTTGGTTCACAAAACTTCAACCATTAAGAATGCAACGCTCCCCCCCCCTCCTCCACCACACCCCTCTCTCCCCAGCTCTTTCTATTCGAGCCTCAGAAGGTTTTCGATTGCGAAATTGGGGCATACCATATTTTTAAAAATTTACCAAAGGATTCAAAAACATATTCGTGGATGGGAGTAGGACCGACTCGCAATGATATACGGGTATTCTTATGCTTGAAGGTGACTTGCGGAACCATAACCGGGTGGATGTAATGGTATCTGTACGGGTAGGGGAAGGAAGGAGGAAGGCCGGGTCTGAACAAATGTCTGGCTCACCCTTTTGAAGGCCCATCAAAGGCTTGTTTCTGTTAAGGAGCCGTACTACGCTTGGAGCTCAGGTGGGTTGAGCCAGGTATGTACATACGTAGGTCCCCTCACCTTTACAGCGTTGCCTTTGCAGAGGTAAATAACTAAATAAGTTTAAAATATGAGGGTTAGAGCTTCTTGGCGCTGCACCTTAGCACTGCCTCTTCCAATGCGACCATAACACCTAAGTTCTCTATCAAAACCAAATCTAGGCTTCCTCGACGACCGAATCAAGGAAATAAAATGTTACAATGATGCGTCGGTCACCAAGAAATCCACGACCTTCCATAATTCATTTTTCAGAAACGCAATGACAAGTTTATGCCGATAAAATCTTACGATGAAACCACCATAACGTCACGATTTTTGCCTCGATTCTCTAGACGATGGCCACCTGCGCAGTCGCCGATGCGAAGAGGATGCGTGAGATGGAGCAGTAACTGGAAAACCGACGTAATTTGAAAGGAATGATTTTTATTGCAGGTTTATGAGAAGCAAAAAAGGCCATAGCAGCATACAGTTTTTTTCGAACACTTTTGGCGCTTATCGCAATATTACAGGGGGCATTGGCCTAAACGGTGCGCATCTCTGGGTCGGAGTCGGTTGTTTTGTTAGTACCTATAATGAATTGTTAGAATACACGTCTAAACTTTGACATTCCCGTTTCAAATACCAGCGGTTCCGGGGTGCTAGAAAATGCCCCCCGATATATTGCGATAGCGCCCCCTTTTGAAATATCCCAAGGGGGAGTGTTGACAGTGTGTACAATCAAAGAATCACAGTTTGGTGTAGGCTACCCGACTAGAGTAAGTATCTCCCATTCTACCGCGAGTCATTTTTCTCCTGATAGGAATAGTACTGCTACCCTCCCCTTCAAAAAGCCAGAAATTGTGCGGTGCAGACCATACACCACAAGTGACGACGGCCTCCAAGTAAATCTGGTTAGTAGTGGTTCATAGTGATAGCTGATTTTTAGTAAATGATAGTTGTAATTACTGTCAACTGATCGAATACAACTGTAACAGGTTAATCATTTCATTGGCAAAAAACATTTGCATTTTCTGGAGGCCGTCGTCACTTGTGGTGTATGGTCTGCACCCGACACTTTCTGGCTTTTTGAAGGGGAGGGGTAAGCGGTCCTAAGCCAGAAGAAAGCCTTAGAATTCTAGGGGAGTGGGTGTAATTATACCCCCGAAAGACGAAATTAACGGGTAGATGGGGTGTACAGTCGTTCCTTTTGTGGCCGAGCATCGATCGCAAACCCATAATTTATACCATTCTGGTGATATTCTACAGTTGCTACAGCAAGAACGTCCATCTATCAACCGTGGACTTGTGGAAGCCCCGGTGTCGCGTGGAAGCAACGCTGAACTTGAAAACGCCTTCAGATGCTATCTCAGCAGATTACAGACGTTTCTCGGTTACGTGAGCGCAAAAATTGGGGACAGAGGTGAAACAGGTCAGTTCCAGCACCAGCACACAGCTGATGGTACACGATGGTGTTGGTCGAAGAGCAGCAAAGAAACGCTGATAAGAATCGATGATGCGCAATGCTAGGCGTTTTTGCCGAAGGGCAGACAGACGATTTTATCCTGCACCGATGAAATCTCGACATAATCGAGAGCGAAGGGCGAGAGCGTACGACATCAAACACACCTTATTCTCATGATTATCTTGCGATTCCATGAGTTCTCGGTTCTTCTTCGCTTTGTACATCGAACTCCGATTCTTCAACTGATGCATCTGAATCGGTTGCACGTTGCACATCACTGCCTGAAAGAATCCATTTGTTTGAGTAATGCTGTTGTTCTTTCTGGACAGCCTGATCATGAACATTGTTCCTTTCTACCGTATCTTTGCTCAGCTCCAGAAAAATCCTCTTTTGAGGCTATTTTTGGGCAATTCCCATTTCCCTCATTTTCTCATCTGGAACTACTATTGCTAGGATTACTTGGGAACTACACCAAATCATGCTATAGCTTCATACGGCGTAATAATAGAGCAGGGAATTCCAAGATTGCTCGTGGTTCCGCACATGGGCTCAGAACGGAGGGCCTTTTAACTGCACCGATTATTTTTCCTCTGATTTACTGAGAAAAAATATGAAAATTCAGGGTAAGCCGAGGCTTTAATTGTCAGCGGAAACACTGATAAACTATGGAGGACTACGGGTGCCGCTCAGGTTTTCGTGGTGCCCGACAGTTGAGCCCGCTCGCGCGGCAAGAGCCAGACTGATTCCGTGAACGAGTTGCTGACGCACGGATGGCCAAATGGAATGGACGTACAATGTACATTCTATTTGAATTAATGCGAAAAGTTACTACAGGAGAGCGGTTGCAACTCAGTTTGTGACTTGCGCTTGCTACGCGCGACGGGGCCTCCTGTCGAGTACCCGGTTTTCGCGATGATGCCGTTAAAGACGGTGACGAATAGTCAAGATCTTTGAAGACTTTTTGAATCGGTTTGATTCCGCATTGGCCGTGGGCAAATCATAAAATAAGGGTTTATTTTACTAGAAATGAGGGGCTCCGGAAATTACAGCAGGAAAATTTTTGTTAAAAAATACCCCCTCATAAAACATAACTTCATTGCTGGGGAACTGGCCTCTGCGACATGGAGGAAATCGTTCAAAAACCGGGACATTCACTTCTTTGAACCTCCCTACCTGATGGAAAAACTTGAAAGCGCTTTGCACATAAGATGGAAGTGCGTCAAACGCGTCGCAAATTCATTCATTCTGCGAATTTCTTATTTACTTTTTATCTTTCTTTTAGGGCGGAAGTGGTGTAGTGACAGTGGCGCGCTTACCACGCGAGCGGTCCGGGGATCAAATCCTGGGTCGTGAGTCGCCCGGGCCAACCAAGCCTTCCATCCCTCCGGGGTCGGTTAATTGGTACCAGACTTGTCTGGGATAAAAACACTGACTTGAACATCGGCTGGCCCCCGCAAGTCATTGTATAGGCCACATCGCATTCAAACGCCACTGCGAATGTACAAATGGAAGTAGAATGCGTGCCGCATCCCAAAAAGGGATTGATCAACGGCAAATGCTTTATCCTTTTATCCTTTTTTTTTTGAAAAATCCAAAGATTAGATGCAGGTTTTTTTTTCCGTTTAGGAGTCTTAAACTTTGAAAGTAAAGGAATAGAAAACACTATAAGATATAAAATTTCGATTTCAGAAGCGAAATGTTCAGGTGACAAAAAATAATGCGAGGAAAATTTGATTGACGAACATTGACACGTAGTTCAAGGTGACTTCTGAATGCCTGGTCAAAAAGGAGCAGGTTACTGCTGGTCATTGTCTATCTCCACCTTGCTGTCACAAATTACTTAGCATTTGTTTCATTCTCCTTGGTAATCGAAATGGCGTTTTAAAAGAGTTGCTCCATTGTGTCGACTTTTTAGAGCCTACAAGAAAGGGCTACTGTCGTAGGAACGTTAGCCGAATGATTGTGACAAGAGTCAAATACGATGAGGGAGGGAATTTCTTCAAATAGGCCTCTACTCATGCGTTCCAACATCACCCACATCATTACAGTTCATAGCTTTTCCCTCTGGTTTCCCTGAAATTGCCGCAATCGTAGGGATTCGAATAGCATAGTAAAACCTCAAATATATTACTTCAAAAAAACTTTCGTGGAATCATCAGAAAATCTTTTGTCTTCTCTGTTTCTCCAGGAAGGCTTCCTACACTGAGCCATTAAGTGGCGCCCTCACCTACCTCCCACGTTCATCACCCCGATGTGGTCAAATAGCATCCTCTTTTTCTTCTTGATACCTACTCTCTCGATCTAACAATGTTCGAGGTACAGACTCACTTGCTTATAATAACTTAATGGAGCTCAAAAGTATGAAGGACAAAGCATTAGGAGTCGATCAATCCCTTTGTGGGATGCGCCACGCATTCTACTTCCATTCAGAATGTGTGGTGGCACCTCGAATGGAATTGAGCCTTACAATGACTTTCGGGGGTCAGCCGGCTCGTACTGATGACTGGATACCGCCCCTGGGAGGCATAGAAGGCTTGATTCACCTGGACGCGAAAGATCCCAGGTTGATGACCAGAATCGAATGGGCGTGGTGGGCAGCGTTCATAGCCACTAGCCACCATTTCTCGCCATCTTACAAAGTGTAGGACTTGTAGCCTTATTGTTGATTACACTACCATATCGGCTTCGTTGCTGCGTAAGGAGCGATACTCCACCCCCCCCCCCCCCCCCCCCCCCCAACAACGTTGACTCTCTTCTTTTTCACAAAACAAGCTAAAAAGCAAAATGATCGAGCTCTCCTTAGTGTGATCATTGACTTTTTTGGGATGCGCCACGCATTCCACTTATATTTTCAACCGTACGGCATTGAATGCGGTATGGACCGTACAACATCAGGGAGGTCAAAGCAAATAAGCATGTTTTATGAGGCGTTTTTACTCCCTCAGACAAGTTCGGTACCGGAATACCGACTCTTTAGGAAGGCTTAGTTGACTTTAGCGAGATTTGATCCGAGATTTGACCTTCGGCTGTGCACGTGAAAAGAGGCGCAACTTTTCCGCGACATCAACTCTACTTCTCTTTGAATTACTACTTCCACAAATAGTCAACATTTAGCGGAGTTGATATCTTCTTTGAAAATGGTCACGAGGTTGGCAGTGACCTTTAATGGGTTACCCGGCGGGATCGCCTTCCTCAAAGCCCTAACATAGTCCGGTGCTAGATAGCATCCAGACCAGCATCGGACTGTTCTTGATTAGCGGAGTAACTTTTGCTCACCTCGGCCAGGGCCTCGTAGATGAACTGGTACTGATCTACGCTATCTATAAGGTGTTGACGTGAGTTGACGAGCGTCTTCGCGTATTCGTAGACGTCAAGTTGGCCGGTCTTCTTCATCAATTCCAGATTAGCGTCCAGCGCCAAAAACGCTCCACTGCGACCGGCGCCATTACTGAAAACTTCAAACACATTGTCCACACATTTTACATTCTTCAACGCCATCGTTACAACACATACTAAGTGATGGTTGGCAACAACACAACAAAATGCCCAACTTTCCGGTTCCCCATGGTCGCGAACATGGGCGCCCGTTTTTACCCAGGCCCGTGACTGGTTGTAAATAAGCACCTTTCCCGATGCGCCGTTATAATTACTGCTAACGCTGATATTAATTTGGTTTTTATGCTAAGATAGCCCTTAGCCGAACGTTACTTAGGTACCAATTCGGACGGTTTCCGTGGAGGCGGTTACGCCATGCTTGGTCATCCAGTTTCTCATCCCCTCACCATTTTCCTGCGACACCACCCGAGATAGAAACTCGCAGATAACAGTATTTGGATTTCGCCGGCCGCCACATTCCGCCCAAGTTAAGTATCGCTTTTAATCGCCGCACTAATTCTCGATGAAAGCGCTGTGTTTCTCAAATATTTCCTGGAACCCAGTCTCGGGTGTGCCTCTATTTTTCTCGGAATTCAGCAAAATTGAATTTTCTCTTTTTATAAATTTTAAAACTGGTTCGCAATTCTATGCATTGTCCTTTCTATGTGCGCTAAGTCATTGTGATGTAAGTGGGGCGCCAAAACCTTGCTCTACATTGGAAAAGACCTCCTCATTCACTTCCTCCTCTCTCTTACCTTACGGTAACTGTCTCGTTTCTCTCAAGTAATGAACTGTTTACTTTTTCTATGACGTTCTTTTATGATGACAGACTGTATAAATGGAATGCGAAGGTATCGCATTAGTTGGAAGTATCTGTTGCTTTAGTTTCGAACGGCACTTAAACAGTTTCTGCTTCGCTGAGCTTTGCTACTGGACTAGGGTTCAGTCCCTAATCTTACCCCAAAAGGGTAACCTTCTTACCTAAGTTGAAGAAATCTTTTCTGAGTCCAAACTCTAAGATGCCTGAACAATTTCAAAAGAGAATTCTTTCCTGATCTTTCAGTAAGTTGAGTTGGATAAGCTTGTTGGATACGCCAGGCATTCAACTTCTGGTAGGAAATGATGAGATTTTTTGGTCAGAGTTCTTGTAGCAAAATATGCCAAAATGCCGATAAGGTTTTATTTTCTTTTTGTTTTTTTTGCTTCTCAGAAAGGTCCAATTTATGACCATCTGGGATATTTAAATTGGAACTGCCCTTAAATAATGGCGTATATTTGGGACGATAATTATTGTGGTGAACAAAGAAGTCGTTCAGTCTCCGTTTCGCACGTGACCCTTAGACGGAGACTAAACAAGTTAAGTCTCCTCCCTCTGTGCTCATCAGTAAAGGGAAGGGAGGACAAAGAGTTCAATTGAAATTAACTTTTCAATAGATATATCAAGTTTGAATTAACATTTCCTGATTTTTTGCAGTGATTAAGTAGACTTTGAATATTGTAATAATATTGTAAAAATAATAATGATTTGTATTAACTTTGTTAACTGATTTTACAATTAAAATTTGATGGAGTAAGGGGATCGGTATTCTACCCATTTTATAAGAAATGTTGCACTTACCTTTTTCCATTGGAAATAGGATTGTAAATGGATTATGTAATGAAGTTTTCCATGAAAGACTTTAATCTGGCTCTGCGGGTCGTTTTCCATATAAAGATGAAAGTATTTCCATATATGAAATGGAAATTTAAATTTAATCGGGTTCTAGTCATCCTTATTGGTTGAGCGTCTTTCTTTCAATAAAAATAAGCATGCGCTTAACTGTATTAGAACTGTGAAAACATTTTTGGTTGCAGGTTTGTGTTGTTTAATATACTATCACCTTGCGCTAGTCTCAACTCGTAAGTCCCATACTGGGAAATCTTGAACATGACCCACCAAAGTGCGGTAGCACCATTCTGGAGAAAACGCTGCGAAACTTCCTTCATATATGAAATTAATACATGCTGGCTGGTTGTGACTTGATCCCTTTAACTCATTAGAAGTAAAGGCCTGAGAAAGGTTTTTTGTCCCCAGGTCGCTTTTTTATGTAGAATGCGATACATTGAACTTATTATTCAAGATCTTATGGTCACTTTCCTGATGTGCTCTGCGCCATTTACATAGCAAGGATATCGACCCATATATTAGTTGATTTTCCAGTTTCGCAGGGGCAAGTCCGCAGAAGGTAATTGTACGTTCAAGGGAAATACGGTCTAAGCCGGTTTGTTAGGCGAAGTCTCTGGCCTTTTCTACATGAAAACCTTTTCTGATAAGCCACGCATTTGACTTCTATTTGAAACGGATGAGCCATTTCTGCGCAATGTTTTCAACAAAATATCCCATTCCCCCCCCCGCTCCTCCCCGCGCCACTTCTTCTCTACCCCAACGCCTCGAGACTAGGAAAAATGATCTACGAAGAGGGGGCGATTAATAGCTATAGAATGTTTTGGTGAAATGCATTCCACTCGAAATGAATGGGATGAAATTAATGGCGAATTGATAGGGCTGGGTCACAGTTCTTTCTTCTCATTCATAACCTCAATGGAAAAAAAGAAGAGTTTTCAAGAATATCGCTTAATTTTCCCCTTTCACCCCCTCCCCTCCACTCACGCCACACACATTTCCCATTTTTTCTTCCAAGAAATTGAACTACTGAGCTCCATATTTCACTAATAAACCCACAGACAAATGGTGAAACGTTGCTTCCACCGTTTCGGACAAGGTCGCTTCTGCCTTCTCTCCCCTTCCCGCCTCTCCCCCTCATCTTTCCCGACCCCCCCCTTCTTCAAGATACACACAGCATTCATTTTGTGCAATCTCTTTTATCAGAATTTTATCTGGAACTTCTTCAGGGTTAGTAATAACCACTATCAGAAAGAATGCTAAATCTGAACTTAAAAGATCCTATCCCATTTCGAAGCAGCGTTTTCAGCAATAATTCCCAAGGAATTTCCTTCAGTTATTTTTTCTCAAAGGGGGGGGGGAGGGATTAACCATTACAAATTGCTTGAACAGGCTGCCGTAGATCATATGTACTATCTGAAGTTCGCGATAAATACTACACAATCAAATGTCTCCACAAAGCCCAGGAAAACCTAGGTGCAGGGCTCACCCCATTGAGGTCTGTCCAACGTACTCTCCTACTTGCAGCCATCACCGGACATTACATCTGCAAGTGAAATTCAGGTCATTGCTGGAAGCAGACGGCTTTCTGATGACGAATGACTGTCACTTTTGTACTTTTTTCCTCGAGAAAACTCACTATGATATGACCTTCATCATTGTCGCTTTGCAGAGCTGGTTTAAGGCTTTTTGCATTGATTTGATAAGGATTAAATGCTCTGTCTGTCAGTCGTTTAAGAATGCGCCATGCTTCCTTTTACCGTTTGAACGATGGAAGCTTTACTAGGTAGCATAGTTGCACACAGTTTGACGACGTTTTGATCATCACGAAAATATTAATTTTCTCTTTGCAAAGAAGAGAAACCGATCCCCTACCCTCGAATAGTCAGCTGTAAAGGGGAGAGCCTGGCTGTTGAAGGGAATGCATCTGTAAATCAAAGAGCGTCAGCCAGAGCATGCTATCGCTCCTTTTTCACTGTTTTTGAGATGTGAGAAATTTGGCAACCACCAGCTCCAGAATGGTTTTTTGGCTTTTGGTTCTCTTTTTTTCGTTGTTGGAAACACGAGCAAGCCTCAGGCGAGGGAGGAGGACTCAAGGATCGTGAGTAATTATCAATTTTCTTGAAATTATGTCTCTCTCTTGGCTTATTTCTAGAGAATCCCCACTATATTGCGATAGCCCCGTTTTTCTCTTCCTCTTCTTTTATTCATTTCAATATACAAATGCTGTTGAGAATTGGGGCGACTCAACGTTCAGGGTTCCCGGTTGAGGGCCATCGTATTTGGCTCTCTAGGAAAGGCCAAACTGGTAGAAGTTGGGGAGGTATTTGCCGAAAAGAGAGAAGGATTTGTGATAGTTAGAGCGTAAGGATCCCTGAAAGGATTGAGATCGCAAAATCTTTTCTGAAGGGAGAAATTTTGAGAGCTTTTCATGGGTAAGGATTTCATGGAATTGTGTCAAAAATATGTCATCATTCTCCGTGTGCTAGAAAACCATTTTTTTGGTGAGGTCACTGACAGTTCCAGTTTCCGATGCGAAAGGAGGGCTGATGGAAGTAGGACCCCTAGATTGGAATAGTCGTGCTCATTCCGGGAAGGAAAGAGGGTCACGTTAGCCCGATAGGGTTTGAACCGCCGAAGTAGCTCAATATTCGACACATGGCTTACTCATGAATGATTTCATGTGAGTAATAGAGAAAGCAGAGAAAAAAGTGGCGCGATAGATGGGTTGAAAAAAGGTCTGGGCGTCGGATTTGACAATTTTCCACGCTTGGCCTTGCCGGAAATTCGAAGAAGTATTTGAACGCATTTTCAAAGAAAAGACATGTTTTTATTTTTTTTTCGCATTCTTTCTAAAAACGCAAGCTAAAAACCATCACATTGTCAGCTAGAGCTTTTATCGGCATACATAAGCACGGTACCTTCAAGCCAGTCCAAAAGACAGGTGGACCAAAATCGAGTGGTCGGGGATTTGATCTCGCAGTTCTTTGTAGTTGATAAACATAGCCTCCTACAATGGTGCCAACTTTGCCTTCATTTCTTAGAGTTACTGGGCTAGGCTCTTTTAAAATTGGCAACAATGGGCTCCTGATTCATTCCAACTAAAGTATAAAAAATATTTTGCAGTAAGCCTAAAAGAGTGTAAACGAGTGCACTTCGAGCACCTAATCTGCTTTGAAGCGTAAGCACTTCAATTACTAGAGCCGCATGGTGGTTTTTTTTACCTAGCTAGATTTGAAGTTTTATGCTGCGACCACAAAAAAAGAACGCACGTTTTCGGCCGCAGTTCACCTCTCGAGAGAGGTAGAAATAGCACACAGTGCTTTTGTCCGAGCGGCCTTGCCAAGGTCTCGCCGACGAGTGAACTCAGCGAGGTCAACTGCTTCTTCCACCTCTACTTAACCTCTTCTACTAGCCACTTAAGTTGATCGTCACAATTACCAGACCCAACCAACTACTT